GAGTTTTGTTTAGGAAAAGTCGGGGGGGGGGCAAGGGAAGAGTGAGCTGTGGCTCTTTTCATCTTCTCCCTTCAGAGGCGGGCACAAAAGCCTCTTTCACGTCTGGCTGACGCCACCCTTCTTGGATTCCACATGCTCCCACCATAAAGATGCCTAATATTGAACTATTAAAAACAAGGGAGAAAATTTGAATGAGCTATTTGGCCCATTACCCCTCCTTGCTGCAATAGCAGTTGGGAAGTACCAGCTAAGGGAATCACGCAGCTGTGTTCTTTTGCCTTATCATACTCTGCAGCCCCTTCTGACTTTTTTATATGCACACAAATATCTGCATGCACCCACCCATGATGCTCTTCCATTGGTGAACTTTCCACAAAGCACACACAGGCAGCTACTTCCGTTTATTCTTTTATTAATTAGGATAAATGTTTATCCACATAGGGGCTTGTTAAAATAAACTCCTGTGTATATCTCTGCACGCCATCATAAACCCACTCCAGCGCACTACTTCAGGGACATGAATGCTGGCAGGAGGCCAAGAGACTGCTAGAGATCAATAGGAAGCACTCAGTGTCAGGACTGCTGCACAGCATGGATTATTCCGGCTAGGATGCTCTTTGCCAGCATTAAGGTCCAACTAAAGAGTTAATTCTCTGAGGCTATTGCAACATACGTTCCTTAGAACACCAGGTACCTGTTGCATTTGTACTGGCTACCAGTGGCTGGGTGAGAGACAATTGCAACTAATGCTGTAAAGCTGCACCTCGGTTTTAATTAACTAGCTTGGGGATAGCTGTGGAGAAGAGTGGAGTACTGCTTTGTCCAGATTGCTTCTAGGGCAGAGTAGCCTGGAAGCGGATTATAGAGCACTCATCTGATCTCTGTTGAGTCCTGGTAGCTTATTAAATAAACAAAAACAGCATTTCTTTGACCAGAAATTAGTTTAAGACAATACATTAGAAGTTCAGTACTTGTGTAAAGTGACACCCTCCACTCAAGAACCAAAGGAGAAGAGCAGAAGTGGTTCAGAATGATAAGTGCCACATGGTACGAAAGTACTTCCAAACATATTAGCCAGTTACGCCTCCCAGCCCTGGTACAAAGTAGGCAAGTATTGCCCTTTGATAAAGGGGAAACTGAGGCATAAGTCAGGGTTAGAGCTTAGGAGTCTTTTGCTTTGGCCATACCTACGTTTATAGCTCTGCATTGACAGATGGGGTATTAGAACAGCAGCACCAGATGAGGAAAAGTTTCACAGTCAAAATTTAGGAGCAGATGATCACATCTCTCGTTTAAAGTAAGGCTGCAGTTTAAGTCCGACATGAGCACCCCACAAAAAAGCCTCTGCACCTCTAGGTCTGAAAAGTCAAGATCTCCCCAATGTCCACCCCTTCTTCCTGTGAAGAGTCCAGCAATTTGGAATAAGATGAAAGATTCTTGGTAAACTATTAATCTAACAGGAAGATAGCAAATGGGTTGTGCCTTTTCCTGTAATAAGCCCCAAACTGTTAAATCACATCCTGCTCATTCTTCAGGTGTCAATGATTTACTGGAAGCAGTACTCCAGATTCAGTTCTAAACTGCAATGGAACACTGTTCGGTCTGGCTGGCAGGGCACCAGGTATTTTTCCATCCATCCACTGTTGTAGGGATTGCAGAGTTACAGGTATGTTCTAAGCGTGTGTGTGTCCCTGGTTCTCCCTTACTAATGGCAACCCCAAGGCAGTTCTTTCACCCACCTCCCACCAAAGGTACTAGCCAAATCTACAAACACAACCACAGTGCCACTTTAAGTGGTCACGTTTTGGAGCAAGTGTGCGGTAGAACAATGCTTACAGCATACTAACAGGACTGGATCCCAACAGATTCCTGGCCAACAGCCACACCCTCTTAGTTTGCCTTGAGTGCTAGCACCTGTCACTCTGACTGAAATCACCAGGACAGGCAGGGTCAAGTCCAAAGCCAAGAGGACTGATCTACTGCCTTGACTCTTGGATTATCATTTTTGCCCGAGTAGAGTGGGTGCAACAGTGCCAGGTCAGAATGGTACCAGGCTGCACCCACTTTGCACAGGTATGATATCACAAGGGGAACAGCCCTGGAGAAGCAGGCCCTATGGCTCTGGTGTTCAGTCCTCTACCAGATAGGAAATCAGTGGCAACCCCAAGGGTGACACACCAGGAAGGGAGAAGGGGAGCATCAGGAATTCTCTACAGGCTGTGAGAAGCAACACAGAGGCTAAATGTAAGCAGAGCAGTTGTGGGTGATTTTTCTTAATGAGATACAGTCAAGAAACAGGGAAAACATCCATCAAAATTGACCAGCTCCAGTTTTATATTTTCTCACACAAAGATGTGCATTAGAGTTGCACTCCGGGGCTGTCGTGCCCAATGTTATAATGCGGGTACCACCTAATGGGCATATGGAGGAAGTGCGAGTTGCCCTCTGCAAAGAACGTGGGACTGACTTACCAGATGAGCTCTACCAGATTTCTTATGGGTGCAATCACAGAGGGTTTGTCATTGGCATGAAAAAGGAGTGGCGTCCACCACCCACAGAGAGCAGAGGGAAAGTCTCATGTCACTGAACAACATCTCCCAGGGAAAAATAATAAGAGGCAGCGACATGTTTCATGCTACTACTGGAAAGTACAGGAAAGGAAAAACAAGCAGACTCCAGAGATTTGACTTGACCTGAGCACCAACTAGTTGGTCTTCAAGGAATTTATGTGGTTAACAATGCAGTAGTTGTAAATGGGATCCTTTAAATGCAGTAGCCTTTAGCATTCAGAAGGGAGATACAAGTTATTCCAGAACCAAATGTCTACAGCACCGTTTGTCTTAGGATATCCTTCAAGAATGGCTCAAGGAAAGGCAGAAATTGTGTAAATGGTAGGTACAAGATTCAGACACCCTGTCCCTGTAGGGCCAATTACTATACAACACCTCAAGCCTGGTAAGAACTTGGAAAAAAAGACAGATGTTACTCTAAATAGGGTTTTTGTGCAGCCAACAGCTTAGTTTTTAATTGGTGTTTGGAGGGAGGTAGATAAGGGTATTTTTAAAAATCCACTAGATCTCTTTCAGCATTTTCATAAAAATAAGTTTATCCTGATGTTTAAATCTGATCCAGGTTTTTGTACAGGAGGTACAGTTTAAGTGAGGATAATCTTATAGGATCATCCATTCTACACTGGCATAATCTGAAAGCTGATTAGGAAAAATGATTTTTGAGCAATGTACAGGAGACTGTCAGCCCTGGTGGGGAGGTGCAGCTAAAAATAAGATAGTTTGGTAGATTCTTCTACTCTGGTGCTTGTCACATCATTACTGGAGCATTTGCCTGCTGGCAGTAGCTATATTATATGGAAGGGGAAGCCAGGGAGTCTCTATTTGCGATTACATTGTTCTCAGCATGGCGTTGCAGGTATAAAAACGACATGAACTGGTCATGTTGGCTGAAGGGTTGCAGATTCCAGTCTCTAAAGCTGAGAAGACAAGAGTGCAACACCATTCATTCAGTCGCGGCATTTCATCGCCCAATCAGCTCTCAGTCGCATTTGTTTTGAGGTTCCTTTCTAGCCAATGGCTGGAGTAGACTGAAACAAGAAGGGGAGTTCTGACTGCACCCACTAAGGAGAGCAGCGCTGTTTCTGGCTGTGGAGCTACCCCTTCTTCCTCACTTCCTGTAACCTCTGCCAGGGTTCCCATCCTACAGACCAAGATAGCAGAGCTGCAACTCCTGCCTTTCCAGCCTTAGGCCTCTCATGGGCAGAGATTAAATGCATGTACCCAGAGGTGTCTGATCTCTTCATTATTCCTCTGGGGCCCATTATCCCCAACTCTTATTCAGACATCAACGCACAGGCAGTTCTTCAAAGTAACTTTGCTTTCTATTTCCACCACCTACTCTATTGTACTGGAGCACATCGTGTTCCCATTATAAAACTATACAGTCTCAGCCGAGAGCCCCTCCCTCCCGCTTGATGCCAGACTTCAGGCACCAAGGGGATAATATCAACTGGTTTATAATTTGAATTTATAGCAACATTTATTAAAAAATGAAGTTTAAACAGGCCCTGCGGCCTGTTACAGACAGAAACATTTAGACAGAGCAGACTGGAGAAGCAAGTAGCGTAGAAGCCACAGACAGCCCTCCTGAATAAACCCAGTAAAGAAATAAGTACACCTCTACCCCGATATAACGCAACCCAATATAACACAAATTCGGATACAACGTGGTAAAGCAGCGCTCTGGGGGGCGGGGCTGCGCACTCTGGCGGATCAAAGCAAGTTCGATATAACGCGGTAAGATTTTTTGGCTCCCAAGGACAGCGTTATATTGGGGTAGAGGTGTGCTGTGTCACAATCTTATGTTTCCAAAGCTCAAGTCCACCCCAGCAAAAGCTGAAACCATGGTCCAGTGGTTAACGGCAGAGAACTGGGCATTAGTCCATCTGGGTTCTATTCCAACTCTGTGACTTAGGACTAGAGTCACTTAACCGCTGGGTCTCAGATGTAACCACATGCAGCATCAGAAGTTGGCATGGCCAATTCACAAATGTTGGTAAAGGGTTTTGAGCTCCTCAAAACTAAAGGTGCCATAGCACTATTACTATTACGGACGAGCTCAAGGCAGAATACAAGTCCCATTGAAAGTGCAATTCCTCGCTCTGCCAAACAGTGTCACTCTTTAACTATCTTTAGATTAACGTCAGCAAGGACTTTAGAAGAGTTATAGCTTGAAGCTGAGATCTAGAAGAGAAGGTCTAGCTTCCCTGCAGAGATCCATCAATACGAAGTTGCTACATGCAGCCACAGCATTTTCAGAGCAGCAAACTGCATTCAGAAAATTGAAGTTCTGCTTTGCAAGGTTCATAGCCCAGAACAGGTATCACAGAGTCCCCTCCCACAGTTAAACCCAAGTATACGAACAGAAGGCTAACTCTGCCAATCTGAAGCCAAGTTCAGAGAGTACATAGAACGTTGGACACAAACCCAGTCTCTCACTTTGTTACTTTATTAGATTATTATTCACAGAGTGGCTGCCCCACTGAAGACACTTTACAAAATATTTCCAAAAAAAGTTTTATTCAAAGCCACATAAAAATGACATCCCCTTCCCACAACAGACAAAAATAAGTTGGTTTTATTTGCCTTAGAAAAAAGAGGTTACTTCCAAAGAGGGGAAAAAATCTGGCCCTTAAAAGGAAGAACAAGCTTCCTTTAAATGTTGCAACTGTAACATGCACTTCACTGCTCTCCCTTTAGAGATCAGTATTGCACTTATGTAAAGCTACAGTGCACCGTACAGCAATCAAGAGGCAGCAAACGGCATCGGAAAAAAAAGAGTTCCCAATCCCAGGTTAAGAAAATGGCAACTAAGTTACAGGTTTCTAGCCACCAATAAGATTAACTAATGAGTGAATGACTGTTGATTTACAAAGAGCTGGCATATCCCATTAAAGCTGGAAGCCCCCAGAAGTTGTCCCCATCATCGCTGCTGCACAACAAACAAATCAAACTCTTGCCCAAGCTAGGAGTAAGTCTAGATCTGACTGACTCTTTGGCATGGAGTTCTGAGAAGCATCTGTCTGGAATACGGTTCCTGCTTTGACATTTTCCTCCTCTCTGTATTTCCAGCATAAAGATTTAAACTGGAATAGTATCTCATGTGTAGGTATTCCAGAAAGTCCTTCCAATGATCAACATTTCGGTCACATACACATTAAAGATGAAGGGGCGGATTCCAATCTCAGGGACACTAGTGATTTCACAGAGTTCCTCTAAATTTACAGCAGCAAGACTGAACAAGAAATGGCCCCAGGGCTACTGTAAAACATTTCTAACACTATCAGAAGGCTCAAGTCAACCCAGGTCCTTCAAAGACAACTCACCTCCTTCATTCCTACATTGACTCCCAGACAGGCAACATCACCATACAGGAGGATACATCAAAGGCACAGCTGATACTTAGGGAAAATAGACCAGTTATACTGCAGATAGAGGTAAACTAGCCATTTTGGAAAAGGTGCTTAGTAGTGAGTAAAAAAAATAAAAACAAAAAATGAGGACCCCAGGTCTCAGAACGCATGGTGCTTGGAGAGATGCTACAACCAATTATGCAGTTCTTCTATGTGCCTTTCTTTTTCCATTGACATATCAGTCAAGCCTCCTCTATGTATGTCTGGCTGCCCAGGTCAGTCTGTCGGAGCTACTGTGAGTCAAGTAATAAAACAGTAATACCTTTAATTTCATAGGGAACTCAGAACAGCCAAGAGGACGCAAGTTTTCAGGAAACTGAAAGATACTTTTTAAAAATTCTAAATGGATAGGAAATGTCCCCCTCTTTGGTATAAAGGTGTTTCGAAACTTACACCTTTGAGCTGCAAAGTCTTTCAACTTCCCATGTATCTAGGATTCTACGCTAACATACGTGTCTCCTCGAGCTGGTGCTACATAGCAGAGTTAGTGAGTCTCGGGACATCACCTGAGATGATGACACAGTTGCTCTTAGGTGGAATATTTTTTAATAAGGATCCCATGATTGGAAGATACGATCTAAGCATAAAATGACAATGTGGTACATAGACCAAAGGAAGCAAAAGCTAACTGCTACCACATGCTGTTTTGTGATCAGACAGTCCCACAAGGGAGAGGATGCTACATATCAAGACACCCCGTGCCCTACGGCAGCTCTGTGCTCTTGTCAAAATCAGAAAACGGCTGTATCGGAAACACAAGATTCACTTGCTACTCTGCTGATTGGAACAGTATAAGGAGACTGGCTGCAGTTTAGATACCTTGGGACTTCTCAGAATTGGCAGTGCCTAGGCTTGGATAAGGGAATCTTAACTCTTACCCAGTCGCTACTGCAAAATGCATTCGTGACAATTAAACAGAGATGTAGACCATCATGGTGCCAATCTGTGTGTGTTGGGGATGGAGAGAGAGAGAGAGACTCTGATTCACAGCATCGTGTGGACATGGGTGAAAAAAGGAGACAAAACTTGAGGTACAACTGCCCTATCTAGTTTTGTGCAACCCCAACCCTGGGCAGGAAGCCAGGAGAATGTGAGAAAGTCGTGACAAGTCTTTGCAAGGTCTTTGCTTAAGGAGCTTAGGCACCACTTCTGGAAGAAGTCACTCTTTACAGCTACAAGCCAGCCGGAGCTGTCAATTGCATCTTCCCCATCACCAATTTAAGAGCCAGACTGCTAGGTCTTTGTTGGTTTTAATCCTTTGAAACCAAGCTTTGCAGCAAGTAATTTGTGTTGCAAAGGTCTGGCTGGGTAATCTACATGCTCCAAAAATGCACAGCACTTTCTGAACTCCAGTTTGTGCACAGCTCTGAGGGCTGATAAACGTATTTTCTGGAAGCAGTAACCCCCCTATACAGATGGCACATGATCACTACTGACACCTCGGTATTAAACTGCAGAACCGAGTAAAACCATGAACCTCTCCCTGCTCCTCCTTCCAACCATAACCTTTCTTAGGAGGCAAGAGTTTTAGGCTGGCCTAGCAGCTTAGCTGTGATGCTTCATACTGCCCTGTGGCACAGCCAGGTGTGATTCCTAGACACCATACCCCACACAGTCCTGGGGGGGTGGGGGTCAGCGAGTGCCACAGAGTGACTATGAACCTGAGGGGGAGCTGTGCCATTTAACATCAACTCCTAGGGCAAACAAAGGAGAAGCAGAGACATTTCAGTGGGGGAGCCCAGCTAGTCCCCCAGGGTTTAAATTGGGAGGAAAAACTGCTGAATCCCGTTCGAGCAACCAGGGGAGATGGAGACCACAGTAAAACACAGGGAATTCTGCTTTGAATTTTGTAAGAAAACCATCTGAACGCTTCTAGGCCTCACGGATCCAGGAGGCCAGGGTAGCATCACACAATGCTAATGCTGACAAACTGCACCCAACCACTGCCCTGACAACAAAGAGGGGAAGGAGGTAGCCACAAAGAATAGGAATGTTTAAATAACCACTTTGAACAGTGTTTGAGAGCCCCTAACACGTCATGTCCACAGCATTTATTGCTCCGATCTAGGATTGGACATAGCATGGGCACCAGGCTCATCCACGGGGTAAAGAGTTCAGCAGACAGCATGAGTAGGATCACGGGCACAGCCCTGCCAGCTCTCCTGGCAGGGATCGTCACTGCAGCTCTTCTGGCAATGTGAGCCAGCCCCAGGAAATGCCACCTCTGCTCAGAATCAAGCTGATCTCCCAGTGTCAGACAGAAGTGGCAGGAGGCCATTTCTCTCAGGCAGAGCAGAGGGACGGAAGGGCACTGCCCTGAGGGAGGCTGGCGTGTCAGTGAGAGGGTCCCAGCAGTCCTGAGTTGCTTGTCCCACAGCTAATCAAGGTAGAGCGAGTGCCAGCTAGCTTGCTGGCCCGCCCGGATCCAGGCGTTATGAGCACTCTGCAGAGCTGAAGGGAACGAACTTGACAGGTTTGTTTGGGGACACTGGGGTCTGACCATCTGCCTCCTCGCTCAGTCTGAAGAACATCTCCTGCTCCCACTTCTTCTGGTTCAGCTCGTCCTCCAGAGCCTTAATGCAAAAATGAACAAACAAGAGATTTGTATTTGTGGTCATGCTGTCACTGTATTGAGACAGCCCCTGCCAGCCAACCAGGCTTCAGCGGCTTGCGTGCAGGGAATGTTACCTTCTTCCGTGGCCTCAGCATATCCCGCCAGTCCTTCAGATGCTGGTTGTGGTTTTCATCCAGGGCCTTCAGCTTCTGGGTCTCATGTTCCACCAAGAGGTGACACTTCTCATTCTAAATAAAACAGCCAGAAGAAGGTATAAGGAGTCTATGGATGGACTGTATCAAGCAGACACAAGAACCATCCTCTACCTACATGCCCCAGATGAAATGGAGACCCCTCTCCACCCATGCTCATCCTATGGTTTTACACCACTTCTGCTGAACCTTAGGCAGCTCAGAGCTCTGAACTATGACGACGTGTTTAAGGGAACCCTCTAATAGGAACAGATGGGAGATTGCACCTTTAGTCAAACTTAACTGCCAGTTCCCACAACCATATTTCTCACAGAAGCCAGGACCCCTCCTCCGTACAGGTAATGCTAGTGGAATGATGCTCTCCCCTCCCCCCCCCCCCGCCTATACATCTGACTGCATACGTGCAGCTCTGCCTCAGAGTGACGTTACCTGCAGTTGCTGCAGTTCGTTCGCATTGCTCTCACACTGGGCACTCATTTCCTTCATCTGGAACTCATGTTTCTGCTGCTGCTGCTGCCGCTCTGCCTTTTGCCGCTTTTCTTCCTGCTGAGCAAACTGGAACAGAAAGCAGCGCCCCCAATACCCTCAGTCACCCAAGAGAAGAGGCTGGCTAAGAAGTTAATGAGCTGACACCATCAAAGGAATAAAAACCAAGGTGGGGGACACCTAAATGCTCAGTTTAACTGTGACATCCATATACAACCCATTCAAAACAACCTGGCTCAAAACTCAGCCCCAACTCCACAGTGTCAGGCAAGAGCCAGTGATCAAAACAAATGCCCTTTTAATTGAACAACGTTAAAATAAACATTATGGATCTAAATATAGTGGTTGCTGGCACTCTCCTAGGCTGCCCCAGAACATCCTAGACCCATGTGGACATATAGTACCCACATGCAAGTATTTTCATGTGAACGAGAGCTCATCCTAGAAATGATCCACTTCATTGTTAAGCTGCTGGGCCTGCAGCAGGCCTGTTAAGCTGCTGTTATTCTACTGAAAATCCTCTGAGCGTTTGGACGAGCTGGGGGCATTCAGCAGCAACCCCAGATCTGAGGAGCAGTTTTCACCTCAGGCTCCTAACACTAATGAATGTGGTCAATTAATTTTAACAGGAGAAATAGTTTCCCTTACCCCTTATAACGGGACCCGCAGTGACATGGCTGGGTTCTGGGGGTTTAGGAGCACATGTCCCACTGACTTGCTCTAAGTCACGCCCACCCACTGCCACAACCACCATCCCTCTTTCCCCATTCCCTTCGCTTTCGGGCATGCAGTTCAAAGAGTAGGAATGACAACTCCTTGCAGACCCACCAGGGGCAGGTTCCAGGCAGTGGCTCACTGCCTTGTTGGGCGGCAGAAGGGGTCAAGGTCGCCTTTGGAAATCCCTCCCTGAGTGCAGGGCTCTGCACTACTTTGATACAGGCTTTCATGGGTTACCAGAGGACCGACAAGTTATACCACTGCTTTCCTCCCACAGGGCACATCAATGCTGCCCTTAGTTTCCCAGGGTGCACTACTGTTGAAAGATGGCTGGCATTTCCCTCTAGCACTGCTATGTCGCCTGCAAAGCAGTGCAGTGCTCCACCCCTCGGCCATGGGGGAAGTCTCCAGAGCCCATGTGTTCTGCAGCATTACCACGTGGCTCAGTGAGCCTGACCTGTTTTATCTTCTCCCTCTGTTCTGACATGCTCCCGCTGGAGTTTATGTGGAGGCTCTTCTTGTACATGGCCATGCGGGTCTTCCCTTCGCTCCTCTGGATTTTGGGGAGACGACCTTTCTCCTGCTGCTGCCGAATCCTCAGTTGCTCTATCATTCGCTGGTTATACCGTTGCATTTGCTCTCGCTCCTAGAACAGCAAAGCAAGGAAAGAAAGCAAGGTCAGCAGAGAGAAAAGGCAAGTCAGGCCGATGGAGAGCAGGAGGGTGGTTACTGTGCTAGGGAACAGTGGAAAACACCACAGCATTGGTGACTAGAACAAAAGCTCCTCTCTAGGGCTGTAGGAAAACAACATGTTAAACAGGCCACAGGAAAAGCGGGGGATGGAGGTTAAGATGAAAAAAAATAGCAGCCCACAACAGGGACACAGACCTGTCTGAGCTTCCATGTG